CGAATGCCAAGGTCCGTTTCGGCGGGTGGCGACAGCCCTCCATCACTTATCATTACCCCCACCACCAAAAAGAAGCCATGACCCAGATGATTAAAGAGATGCTACAAGAGGGTATCATACGACCCAGTCATAGCCCCTTTTCATCCCCAGTTTTGTTAGTTAAAAAAAAAAGATGGTTCCTGGAAATTTTGTGTTGACTACAAAGCTTTAAATTCCATCACTATCAAAGATAAATTTTCTATGCCCACCATTGATGAGCTATTGGATGAACTTGGGTCTGCTAAGATATTTTCTAAGATTGATCTACATTTAGGGTATCATCAAATCCTTTTTAATCCTTCTGATATTTAGAAAACAACATTCAGAACTTTTGATGGACATTATGAGTTTCTAGTTATGCCCTTTGGACTCTCTAATGCTCCATCAACTTTTCAGTCTGTAATGAGTGACCTACTTAGACCATTTTTATGCAAATTTGTTCTAGTTTTTTTTTTTTTTTTTATAAATATTTTGGTCTATAGTAAGTCATTTAATGCACACTTCCAACATCTACGTTCAATTTTAGATTTATTGTTTGTTAACCAATTTTATGCCAAGCTTTGTTAACCAATTTTATGCCAAGCGTTCTAAGTGTATCTTTGGAGTGGCATGTGTGGCCTATCTCGGTCATACCATTATCGAGTCTGGCGTGCAACTTGATCCAGACAAGGTTAAGGCCATCATGGACTGGCCTGTTCCGCTCTCGTTGACTGGCCTATCTTGCTTCTTGGGTATCATCGGGTTTTACGGGCGCTTTGTTTGCCACTATGCTAGGATCGCCGCTCCACTCATCGAGTTATTTAAAGGTACATTTTTTACATGGACTAGTCAGGCTCAACAGGCCTTTACAAAATTAAAAAAACACATCACTACAACACTGATCCTACAACTACTAAACTTCTCCAAACCCTTTGTGCTCGAGATCGATGCTTCAGGGGTCCTTGTGGGGGCTGTGTTTACCCAAGACTCTCATCCCTTAGAATTGTTTAGCAAAAAGTTATGCACCAGAATGCAACATGAGTCAGTTTATGTGAGGGAGATGTACGCGATCACATAATCTGTTAAGAAAAGAAGACAATACATAATTGGACAAGAATTTGTGATTCTTACCGATCAACAAAGTCTACAACATCTACTGTCCCAATCCATCCAGACACCTGCACAATAGAAGTGGTTGAAGAAATTGTTGGGATTCAATTTTTGAATTGTTTACCAAGTTGGACGTCACAATATGGTGGCTGACGCTTTGTCCCGCCCTGACGATGCTCCGGATACTGTTTTACTCGCTTTGTCATCACCTATTCCAACATTTCTCCAACAATGGAAAAATTACTTTACATCCAATCCAGCAGGGCAAGGAACAGTTCTTAGATTCATTAATGATACTAACCTGGGAGAAAAATATAGTTTGCGTGATGGGCTCTTGTATTTCCAAAATAGGCTTTTCATACCTGACCTCTTCGAATTCTGTCAACAATTAATGGCAGAATACCATACCACTCCAATAGTTGGTCACTCTGGTAGTAAGCCCACTCTTAGCCGCATAGCTGCCTCTTATTACTCGCCCTCAATGGCTATGGATGTTCGTCAGTTTGTTGGAGTTGTTCTATCTGCCAACAAAACAAATACGAAACTCAGAAACCTAGGGGACTTTTGCAACCACTACATACTCCCGGTAAGGTATGGGAAGAGGTGACCATGGAAATCATTACCTCATTTCCAAGTTCATACGGTTACACCGTGATCTGGGTGGTATGTGACTGTCTGAGCAAGTATAGCCATTTTGTGGCCCTTCCTACGCACTTCACTGCCTAGTAACTCGCTCAACGTTTTACGCAGGAGATCTTCCGACTGCATGGTCCACCTAAAGTCATCATCTTAGACAGAGACCCAATAAGAAAAATATAGTTTGCGTGATGGGCTCTTGTATTTCCAAAATAGGCTTTTCATACCTGACCTCTTCGAATTCTGTCAACAATTAATGGCAGAATACCATACCACTCCAATAGTTGGTCACTCTGGTAGTAAGCCCACTCTTAGCCGCATAGCTGCCTCTTATTACTCGCCCTCAATGGCTATGGATGTTCGTCAGTTTGTTGGAGTTGTTCTATCTGCCAACAAAACAAATACGAAACTCAGAAACCTAGGGGACTTTTGCAACCACTACATACTCCCGGTAAGGTATGGGAAGAGGTGACCATGGAAATCATTACCTCATTTCCAAGTTCATACGGTTACACCGTGATCTGGGTGGTATGTGACTGTCTGAGCAAGTATAGCCATTTTGTGGCCCTTCCTACGCACTTCACTGCCTAGTAACTCGCTCAACGTTTTACGCAGGAGATCTTCCGACTGCATGGTCCACCTAAAGTCATCATCTTAGACAGAGACCCAATATTTTGAGTCAGTTTTGGCGCGAGATATTTAAAGCACAAGGAATGACGCTTAAATATAGCTCGTCTTACCACCCACAAACGGATAGTCAAATTGAGGTCTTGAATCGCACCCTGGAATGTTTCCTACACTGCATCATGAGTGATACTCCTCGCTCGTGGCTTCAGTTCCTTCACATTGCAGAGTTCTAGTACAACACTAGTAAGAATTCTAGCTTAGACACATCCCTTTTTCACGTCCTCTATGGTTGCACCCCACCTACTACCATTGATTTACTCACTAGCCGCGCTACCAACATTTCTTCAGTGTCTTCCATCCTGCAAGAACACAAGGCCATTTTATTAGTGGTGAAATACCATCTTCATCATGCACGAAAACATATGAAAATAGAGGCAGATAAACATCGACAAGATGCCCATTTTGTTGTAGGCGATTGGGTGTGGGTGCGCCTTCAATCATATCGCCAAACGTTTGTCCATCGTCATTCTAGCTAGAAACTGTCGAAATGGTTCTATGAGCCGTTCAAGATTCGCAACCGTGTCGATGTGGTTGCGTACACGTTGGAATTACCAGATGGCTCCTGCATTCATCGTGTTTTCCATGTGTCTAAATTGTGACCCTTCATCGGAGAAGACCCCCTCTCTCAGTTCTGGCCACCACCACCATCTTTACTCAACATGATCCGTGATTCACTCTCATCATGATTGGATGCGGAGGAAACATCACTTGAAACCGTTCCTTTTCCCACGACCCAGATGCACCCACAAGAACTCTCGCGAATGCTCTTTCATTCTCCCAAGGCATCCCCATCCACTCAACTATGGAACCTAAGTGTGCGCACTCATCAATGACTGAAATAACATTGGGCACTATTTCAAGGAATCCCGAGATACGTCCAAATTTAGTGCACACTGTTGGCACTCCCATTTCAACTCTTGTTCATGATTCACCGTTGGATGGAATTCAAAGAATCAAAAATTCATCCTCACCATCCGTTACTTCTTCGATCCATGACTTCTTTCAAGGTGCGAACCAACTCATGCCAAGTAGCAACCTTGAGGACAAGGTGCTGATTCAAACGGGGGCCATTGATAGGAATACAACGCCCAGGCCCAAAATGCTACCTTATTTGGGACAAAGATTACTTAATGGATTAATAATTAATGTATGAAGTATTGATCCAATATTGGCCCATGTATTTCAGTTTGTTCCTCCAAGGTCTCATAGACCATTGTAAGGGTATTTAAACCCAACTTTACCTTCAAGTGGGATATGATGAAATTCTTGAATTCAGATTTTTCTTAGATCTATTCTGGTAGACCTAGTTTTCCTTTAGTCCTATCATATTGATGGAAACATGCCAAGGCTAAGGAGAACAAAAGGTGATATATTAAAGGAACCAAGAGGAATGAGATGATTTTGAAGACCTTTCATATGTTTGTAAATATAGTAGTTACATGTATAGGTTTATTTTGCCTTTGTATTTGTGAGGCACATTAGTTCCTTTTTATAGACTATTGTATTGTGAATTTAGAGTAGGTTCTTTGGATACTTTTACTCCATTTGACCTTGTATTAAAGGTCATTCATTTTTACTTTTTCAGTAGTAGAAGTGGGGTGATAATTAGCAAGGTGTGTAGGTGTAACTAGTAAATGGGCCACAGTTGGGCCTAGGCCAAATTTTACATATTGGGCTTGTTTTGCTCCATATTGTCCAAGGAATTGATTTAGCTAGGCCTCACTATCATTTGGTGAACCTAACTAAACCAATTCCAATTTATTTGGATTGGATTAATATGGAACAAAGTCCATTGGACGCCCACCTCTAACCTTAGTCGGATTGGCTTGTTCATTTGGCTTATTTGGGAAGCTTGTGCTACAAGCTTCTAACTTAGCGTGCTTCCCAAGCTTCTAAGTTAGAAGCTTGCTCCAGAAGCCTTCCAAACCAAGGTGGACGGTCAAGCTAAGCTAACCTTGGTTCTCTTGTACTATGGTTAGCCTAGCTTGCTCCATAAGCTTGCCTTGGCCGAATTTGCTAGCAAACCATGCACCCTTGGGAAGCTTGTGCTACAAGCTTCTAACTTAGCTTTCTTTCCAAGCTTCTAAGTTAGAGGCTTGATCCCCAATCCTCCCAAACCATTGTGGATGGTTGAGTTAAGCCAACCATGGTTCTCTTGAAAAATAGTTAAGCTTAGCTTGCTCTAAAAGCTACCTTCTTCTATATATTCTTTTCCTTAAGCATTGTAATCACTTTTGACATATATGAGATTAAATTTTTAGAATTTCTATCTCTCTTAAAGGTCCCAAAACCATGGAGAAATTTCTCTCCTTAAGAACCTTCACAAAGGAATCCTTCCTTTGTGCCTTGGTTCCTCTCATCTTCTCCTCCTTCAAGAAGAAGACCGTGCCATTGGAGTTGTTTCTCAAGCTTTCTAAGCTTTTTTTCTTGCTTCTAAAGTCAAGTTCAACCTCAAGGAAAGAATGGAAGAAGGAGATGAAGCTTGGAGGAGATCATCAATCACTCCTACAAGCCATTTCCATCATTTTTAGTATCTAGAGCCTTGATGCTCTTGAGGTATTGTGTTCTTTCTCTTTTTCTATTCAAATCCATCTTGTGTAGTCTTCTTGAATGTCATTGATGTATTTTCTGTATGGATATAGTTTTTTTTTACATATTTTCGATGGATCCACATGTCACATGATTTGGTTGGTTCATTAGTTTGCTTGTTTCCTTGTTCATGAACCAAATCCGTTTGTGTGCCTAGTGTAGATACCAAATTTTGTCCAGAACGGGCTGTCCCTACGTTTTACAACTTTGAAACTTAAAACCCTTAAGGAACCACCAGCCTCGCAGATACCAGAAGGAATGGATGAAGGGACTGACATATACTCCATCATCTTCCCTGGAACAGCCAATTCTAATAAAAAAGTAGAACTGCTCAAAATCGACCATCTCGCCAATGATAAAAGCATTAGTAAAAGAAATAGGGTTGGTTTGAGAACAAAGCCACGCCCTTACATTGTTGATAGGATGATTAGTGTGCTTTGTGAGCGCTATCCCATCAACTGACCTGAACGTTATGTCTTGCAAAAGTCCACCACACACGCTCTTGGGTACTACAGACCTGTGTACTCATGGCTCGCGGAAGGCTCAACTATACTAGATGTTTCAAGGTACCCTTTACGTGATTTGCAAGGGAACACTCATAAGTATGAAGCCATTCTGCCTAACAAGCCTACATATGGGCCAGAGTACTACTATCTCAAGCAATCTCCTCCTTCAATTCCATTTTCTATTCTTGTTCATCCACCTGCTTTTGGACTTAAACAAGAATCTCCTCCATCCTCTCTGTCCTTTTCTCAACCAACAGATGAACTACCCAGACACCCTCCATCCATGTATTTTCTATTGAAACTTTTCCCCGCACTGACTATCACTGACCCACACGGTCAAACAGTTGAAGATTTCATCCCACTAGGACAACATGATCTACCTATGCTCGTGCGCGTATATGAGGAAGGGGTATACAAGTGCACACCTTTCTACCCAAGCATACCTTTCTCTCCATCTGAGTCTTATCTGGCTCTCCCTCCAGATGCCATAACTACTCTTCCTCCACCAATTTTCAAGAGGAGGATATATCCAGGAGAGGTGATCAAGTCC